ACACTGGCAACAAAGATCTGCATAGTCAAAGCCATGGTATTCCCTGTAGTCACCTACGGATGTGAGAGCTGGACCTTAGGGAAGGCTGAGCGAAGGAAGATCGATGCTTTTGAGCTGTGGTGTTGGAGGAAAGTTCTGAGAGTGCCTTGGACTGCGAGAAGATCCAACCAGTCCACCCTCCAGGAAATAAAGCCCGACTGCTCACTGGAGGGAAAGATACTAGTTGCTGGTTGAAGTACTGTGGCCACATCAGGGAGTGTGGACGTCTCACTTCATTTCAGATAAATAATCTACAGACAATTATCAAATATAGTGCCACTTCATAGAGTCTATGTTTGAGTTGAAGTACTTTGGCCACATCATGAGGAGACAGCAAAGCCTAGAGAAGACAATTATGCTGGGGAAAGTGGAAGGACAAAAGGAAGAGGGGCCGACCAAGGGCAAGATGGATGGATGGCATCCTTGAAGTGACTGGACTGACCTTGAAGGAGCTGGGGTGGTGACGGCCGACAGGGAGCTCTGGCGTGGGCTGGTCCATGAGGTCACGAAGAGTCGGAGACGACTGAACGAATGAACAACAAATACATATATAGATAGCCTCCTTTTGTACAATGCTTCCCTCATGTTCTTAATATTTCCAATTTCATAATTCAGTCAACTAGAATCATTTGATAGCACAGATCTCCAAATACATATTTTTGTTTTACAAGGAATGTTCTGGTTTACTATCTCAATGCAAAATCTGTACTAGTTATGATGCCAATTTTCATGTATGCTGACAGGTTTCTTTTATATACCACTATCAGAATGAGAAAGTTGATCTCGATGATGTTCTTTAGAAGAAATAAGTCCCATTGTTTTATGTGAGATTTCTAATTAAACATTTCAATCCCAAGAATGTATCATCATATACAAAGACGCTACACACAAATTATTGGCTATGCTGGGAAGGAATTGCTTACAGTCAGAGTCCAACACATCTGGAGGTTAACAGAGGAGGGGATTACTCTGTATAAATCCAGCGCAGTGCTATACATAGATAAATCAGTGTTATAAATATTCACAGACCCAAGCACAGCAGGCAGATTAGTATTACACACACATTTACTCACAAAACTTTTGTTTTGTGCTGCAGCTGCTGTTGTTGCTATGTGTCTTTAAGCCAAATTTAACTCATGGCATTCTTATCATAGGGTTTTATTGACCAGAGTTCTTCAGATGAGGTTAGCCATTACCTTTTTAGCCTGAGATTGCATGACTTACCCATAGATTTCCATGGCTGAGCAATGATTTGAACCCTAGTGTCCCAGAGTTCTAGTCCAATACTCAAATCACTATACCGCACTGGCTTTGTGCTGTCCAAAACTTGAAGGATGAAAGCTTTCATGGTCCCTCAACTATGATCCTGGCCAGTGACTGTGGTTCTGTGAGCTATCATCCCAGATATGGAAATCGTGCAGTTCCCCCAAAGATTGTTCAGCTGAACCTTCCCCACATTCTCCATCATTGATTGTGCTGATTGGGATTTCATTTGCACAACATCTAGAATTCCCATTTTGCTCTATACAACTAGCATTTTCAGTACTATAAAAGCATCCAGTCCTTCCTAAATGCAGTGTCAGGTCCAGAGACAGCTAGTTCTACCCCCAAAATGGAAGGCTGAATGCAGGAAGCACCATTGTTGGTAGTTCACCTGTGCTTCTCGCTGTAATCTCTGCCCCTGATTTAATGTAGCTGTCTGGAGACTAGTAACAACGTGTGCTCTCTGTACACAAACATGCATACTCCAAGTCCAGTATCCAGTGGTTCTCCCAGCCCATTGAACAAGTCTTAGGTGTTCATCCAAATGGTTATTTTCTTTAGCAACCTATGCCAAATCAGACCTCTTTACTGCTTTTTCGGGATCTCATGCTTCAAATTGAAGGAATATGTATACACTGAGCAATGATTATCACAGGGTGGATAACATTCAGTTTCCCACCAGCTGTCATGTCACCTTCAACTTCCTTTGAAATGTTCTCCTGTCTTCTGCCCAGTTTCTTGAATGGAAGTGTTTTGAATTGACTGTGAACTTAAGGCATTCACTTGGAAGTACTTCCCACTGGAACTAATGGGTTTCCTTTCGATGAACATCTTTAGGATCAGAGTGACAGTTTTAAAAGTACCCATGCCCATGTCTCAGAAGCATCACCATTCTTCACACCATACCAATATCTTTTTAAAATAACAAATAAAAATAAAGCAATCTAATTCCTGATTTGGTTCAGCAAGAATACTTCAGAAGCTTTTATAGCCTAATGCCCATGAAATCAACCCTAGACTCTGGACTCATTACCAGTTATATTTCCTTCTCTCTTTGATTAACTGATATTCAAAACAATACTCAGCTATTGTTGGACTACAGCCCACAGCATCCCTGATTACTGGGGGGATGGTGGAGAGTGATGGAAGCTGGAGTTCAAATGACAGGTTCCCTACTCCAATGACCCTGGTTTGGTCTAGAAGGCTGCCAAGGCTAGTTCAGCAGCAATAACTTCATCTTACAATTTACCACCAATGCATGTCACATAACGTTTGCAGGCAAATATATCCTTCAATTAATATGAAGTCCAAATCTAGGTTAAGGCAATCAGAAGAAATCCATTAGAAGTAGTCTAGTGGAGAGCATTGACTGGTGATCTCTCCTTGAAAGGGACCAGATTTTCAACAATGTTTCACGAATGTCACCAAATTTCCATTCACTGGATATTCTGCCAATCAGAGTAAATAATGCTGGCCTAAATATACATATAATCTGGTCTGCCTTGATCTGTTTCCTATGCGCAAAAGCATAGGGAAGCTATTGTTGTCACTAGGCATATGCAATTTCATGAGAACATCTCAGCTCTCTATCAGTTAAAAATATTAATTCAGCCAAGTAACTTAAAGATGTGTTCAGCACTTCGAAAATTTAAAGGTAAGTGGGAACTTTGATGCTCTAATCATTCAACAGGAACAATATGATATCCACTGTTAGTGATACTAAAATGGCAGGGTCTTAAATTCAGCATGATAGTACTTTCATGCATCTCAGTTTTGTTAAAACCAACACAACGGGCCCCTTTGCAGCATAAGAATTATTTGAATGTGGGGAAATACGGCCAAATGTTTGTTTGTTTGTTTGTTGGAAGGGGTCCACAAGACAGCTCCTTCCTATGCCAGCTTTGTCTCCATTTCTAAGAGGAGAAACAAGCAAGTTTTTTTACTGCTTGTGAAAGACCTGTATGATAATGTTTGAAAAAATCGTTTGCTTTATAATCATTTTTAATTTCTATTGAGCTGAAAGATACTGTATATATTCATGTATAAGGGTAGCACAGTGGGTTAAACCCTTGTGCCGGCAGGACTGAAAACTGACAGGTCAGAGGTTCGAATCTGGGGAGAGCATGGATGAGCTTCCTCCGTCAGCTCCAGCTCTCCATGTGGGGACATGAGATAAGCCTCCCACAAGGATGATAAAACATCAAAATATCCAGGTATCCCCTGGGCAACATCCTTGCAGATGGCCAATTCTCTCACACCAGAAGTGACTTGCAGTTTCTCAAGTTGCTCCTGACACACAAAAAAAGCCTAAGTATAAAAAATACAACCTAAGGGTCAAGGTAAGGTTTATCCAAGGGTCAAAATAAGTATTGCATCTTAACACTTATCAAAATTGAATTATCCCCTTGCCTGAGTAGCAAATGCCAAAAGCTTAGTATGTTACAAGAGAAAAGAAGAACTCGCCACCCCTACCCTCTCTGCCCTGGCACTGTTATCCCCCGGCACTTTCCCAACCTCATAGAATGACCCTCAACTTATCCACAGGTGATATCAAAATCCATTATTTTGGTTCCCAAACTTGCCTTCATACATGAGGTTGACTTATACATGAATATATATGGAGTAGTTGTTATATTGCAGATTTGAGCAGTACAAATGCAGGTTGTTCTGATTAAATTTAATGAAATCTGTGCCTGAAAATTTCACTTTTGGACTGGAACTTCCAGAAGCAATGCTGTTTGGAGCTTGTGTACCTTAAAAAACCTTGTCCAAGCTCTGTATCAATGTAGGTGTATATGAAATTACAATCTAGGCCAATTATTCCAGGCACAAGTCAAAAGAACTCTTTTGTTGTGTGTACTAAGACTGTAGCCATAATGACCAATAGAAATCACTAGGATAATGAATAATCCTAAGATTGGGGGGGGGGGGGGTACCACATATATCTAAGTATCCAAAGTCCCCCTACTGCAAAGCCTTCGTTTCAAACAGGTTTATATTTGATTCCTGGTCAATTGGTTCAAGTGGTGCTCTGTGTCAAAAGAAAATTGTAACCCGGAAACTCTGTCTGCCCATACTGATTGCATCTCACAAATATTCTCAGTTCAACATATGACTTGACTAAATGATTGCAATAGAAAAAAAAATGTTTTGGAAAATTTCCCAGGAAGTACCGGCATGACATCACACATTATTTTCTTTGTCCGGCTGTAGAAATCTACCTTTGTTGGCATTGTAAAATAAAAGCATGCAATTCTCATAAAAGAGACAGGATCTTATCTTGCTGTTCCAGCAGTATGTGTAATATGGCTAGGAAGAAACAGAGATAATTTTATTAAATCAGTCTTTCAAAATCCGTAATGTATTGTATATTTTTTTACATTATTGCACTAGACTTACAAAAATACATAATATATTAATATCTCATAATGCTAGGGAATATGTCAGTTTTCAAATCTTTCCTTTTCATGGTTAATCTTCAGCATGCATCTGTACGCTTGAGGAGGCTTTCTGAAATGATATTCACAACTTTATTATTGTCCAAGGGAAACAGACCATCTTGAAAAGATTATACTGTTAATGAAAAAGGGTAAAGGAGAGCAGTTGGAATCCAAGTGACCATGTAATGATGCTTGATAAAAGATACAGAAGTGTAAAAAAAGAATGATTTTTTTAAACATTATAAATAATATCTGCAGTACCACCACCAATATACCCAGGAGCGAAAAATGCTTATGTACAATAATGTAAACTTTACCAAAAGTTTTTTTACATTCAATAAAGCCAGAATTAGGGACAAAATTTCTTTTTTGTTTTGTTTGTTTTTCAATGTCAGCATAAATTTGGGGGCTAGGGCTATTGAACACAGGTGAGCCAAGGGGAAAAAATACAGTACAATCTCTTTCACAGTGGTTTGGTTAACTTGGGGCAAAATTCACATAAACACCCACTGGAATGAATATGAAGTGCACAAGAATTTTGCCATGTTTAAACTGGAGAAATTCCTGGTAGATTCTGCCCTTGGGTGATTAAAAACTCTGCACAAAATTTCACATTTAATGCAAGCTGTCGTTTTGTTTGGATCCTTTCTCTCTATGTTTCTTTCATATTAGGGCAGTGCAATTTTCCTTTTTGATCCTGGGATAACCTATAAAAAACTGAGCCACAATCCAAAGAATGAGTTGAGCTAAAGACCAATTAAAATCAGTGAGTTAAATCCAAATTTCCAATGATGAACATCCATTCACAAGAGGAAGGGATTTTCACTTAATTCTATTTTACTTCTGCTCATTGCTCCTGAAAATCGGCAGTGGTGGGTTAAGATACCCTCCAGTAAAATGTGAGAAGCCATTTGGAAGGGATGAGAGGATTGAAGTTACAAGGAGAAGGAAAAACAAGGAAATATGCCTTTCCCTCTCCCAGTAGTAAGACTTTCCAGTGAATGTCAATTTCAACCCACTGGAGATTTGCAGATTCAGCCCACTGGGATCCAAAATTGGTCAGTTTCAGTTCTCTATTGAAGAACCCAAATTCTCTTTCTGAGATGTGTGTGCCTCCACCCAATGCACAAAAAAATCCCTACAAACTGTTTCTAACAAGAAAAAGAAAACAGACAACAGCTGGATAGTGGAAAGACAAATTATGACCCAGACCCATATTTACATATAGAAAACAAAAGTATTACTGCCTTTGTAATCACAATAAAATACAAGATAAATAACAGAGTTGTGTAATCATTTGGTTCTACAATTCGTTACTTATAAAAAGTAATCTGTTAACCAAAAACAACTGTTCACTTGTCCATACATTTCAAGATAAGAACTACTGGGTGATCCAGAAGAGAACTTCCGTTTTGTTGCAGTTTTCAGTTTCCTTGACTGTTTTTACCCCCAAAATCTGAAGCAATTGCACATAGAGAAGGTCACGTTGATTCAGAATAAATATGTGTGGTTTTACCAATCAAATAGTCACACAACAAGCCCTCTGAGGGTTGTAAGATCTTCTTTATGCAAAACAGTGCAATAACACATGTATTACTTCCTTACATTATTTACACTTATGGAACATCCATGATCTTTCTTTTCTCCCCACCCATCCTTTTTGGAAGCAAACTGTCATGGAGAAAAATAGTTGAAATATCACCAACCCACAACGTCATTCTGTGTGAAGAAATTTTGGGAAAAGTGAGACAACAAGAGGAAGGGCTGGACTAAAATTGTTCTGCCATGCTTCTGATATCAGAGTGCAGAGGCTGTGACCGAATGACTACCTTCTCTGGATGTCGACATGCCCTTGAAAGTCAGTGATGCTGGGATATCACAATTGTGGGGGGAAAGTGGAGTCCCTCCAGCATGTTGCCAGCCATGGCCAGCTACGTAACCAGAAGGAGCAGCACTGTATGCCATGTAAGGGGACACCTGTGCTGTGGTGGGGTATGGTGCCATAGCAGGTGCAGAGACGAAGCTTCCAACTGTTGGAAGGCCATTTGGTGCCTAGAAGAGAAGATGAAAAAATATATGAATGGTTGCACTTTTCTAATCACTGTAGTAACTCAAAACTAACAATAACTTTTTAAAATATGGAGTTAAATACTTTAGGGAACTGACAGTGAGTTTCAGGGGTCACAGAAGTGCAATCAAGAATATGAATTTTGCCCATCCTTAATGGCAGGTGGGAAGTAGACAGTGAGGTAGCATCCATTAAATCCAGAAATATGAATTATTTATTTTATTTATTTATTTCCCACATATATATCCCGTTCTTCTCAACCCTGAAGGGAACTCAGGGCAGCCTTACAAAGACAACAATTCAGTGCCATATATTAATACATCGGTAAATAAACATTAAAAACAAACTCATTAATTGTAAGAAACAACTACACAACACAAACAGTCTGACATTAAAGAAGTTAGTAAATCTGACTGTAACTGTTGCAGACTTTGACATTGTTCCTGAACATGCTTGATTAATGTAATTCAAAGCTGACATTTTGACTTTCCAGAACTGGGGATGAGGAGGCAAAATCAAATACATTAAAGGATCCAATGTCTCTTTCACACTTCATTTTGCTTCAGGATTTTTATTCCGATGTCAGGAAAGTTCTCCAAGTTCAAAACAATGTTTGGGCTGGAGGGTGTTTGCTGGCTCCCCACTCCTTCTGCAATTCCTTGTGCTGGCTCCCCCACTAGTCTAAAGGACACTCATAACCAAAACTTGGAAAATTAGTTTTGAAAGACTACAGTTCCCCAAATGCCCCAACTGACCATGGTGACTGGGGATTCTTCAAAGTAACTCCAAAATAGTAATAATAACTCTGTCTTCAAGCCTTCAGGGCAAAATTTTAGAGGTCAGGAGGAATGGCAGAGGGAGGCAGAGAGAAGGAATGAAAGTTACGTCCTTCTTCACTCCATAATGGACCAAGAGAGTCCCACTCATGATAAGAACCTTCTGTCCATGGTGGAGTTTGCTGGACCCAACCCAGTAATAAATTGCAAAAAAGCAGTAATGACACAACTGAGGTTAGAATCATAGAATTGGAAGAGACCTCATGGGCCATCCAGTCCAACCCCCTGCCAAGAAGCAGGAAAATTGCATTCAATGCACCGCTGATAGACGGCCATCCAGCCTCTGGTTAAAAGCCTCCAAAGAAGGAGCCTCCAAAGAAGGAGCCTCCACCACACTCTGGGGCAGAGAGTTCCACTGCTGAACACCTCTCACAGTCAGGAAGTTTTTCCTAATGTTCAGATAGAATCTCCTTTCTTGTAGTTTGAAGCCATTGTTCCACGGCCTAGATTCCAGGGCAGCAGAAAACAAGCTTGCTCCCTCCTCCCTATGAGTTCTTCTCACATATTTATACATCTCAGCCTTCTCTTCTTCAGGCTCAACATGCCCAGCTCTTTAAGCCTCTCATCTCCAGACACTTGATCATTTTCGTTGCCCTCCTCTGGACACATTCCATCTTATCAACATCCCTCTTCAATTGTGGTGCCCATAATTGGATACAATATTCCAGGTATGGTCTAACCAAGGCAGAATAGAGGGGTAGCATGACTTCCCTAGGTCTAGACACTATACACAAATGATGCACAAAAGAGTAGAAACCTGCCTCATCGAGCAAGCTTTTGGTAACATGGCGTCATTGGATAAATACAGTATGATGAAATAACGAACACGGAACAGTTTAGATGGTGCAAATGGATAAGGAGTCAGACTAGTAGACATAAATTATTATAGTTTTAATTGGTTTTTATATGGATTTTTATTATGTGATATTAAATGTTTTTAATTGATATGTATGTATGTATGTATGTATGTATGTATGTATGTATGTATGGCATCTAATTGTTGCCAATCTGTATGCCACCCTGAGTCACCCTCATGCTCAAAAGAGTGGGATAAAAATACTGTAAATAAATAAATAAATTTTCTGACTCCATTTTATATAACACAATTTGAGCATCCACAGATTTTGATATCCATTGGGGGGCTTCAATCAAATCCTAGCAGATACCAAGGGTCCATTGCACTTAAAGATAACAGATTAATATTTGTCAGATTGTAGCAGCATGTTGGTAATAGCTGCAAATTATTTCTCCTTCTTCTCATGACATGAGGCGTTCTAAAAAGCACTTGTGAAAACACCATAAGGCTACCTTTAAAGCCCTGCTAAAGCATTAAAAATGTGTAAGTACTCAATACACACACCCTCTCTGCCATAATCAATATGCAGAGTGTAATATTCTGAAACAAAGAATGTCTCCTATTTATGAACACTCTGTGTGAGTGGGAATCCTGAAAAATTCATGCTCCCAGTCATGTAAAGAGCCTCCATGAAAACTGGATGCTTTCTACACAACAACAGGTATCTTACAGTATGGATTAGGAGCTTTCATATCAATGGGGTAGCAAATTGATTTAGGAGTTCTGTCTAACTATTAGGACCATATAAAGTGTTGAACCCTAGTCCACAGTAGCATCAGCATCGTGCCTAGAACTTTTAAAGTTTAGACTAAAACCAGATCGGGACTTATTATCTTATTAACATGGAGGCCACCTACTGCTACTTTAGACGTATTGGTCTGAAGCTGAGAGGGCACATATTAGTAATGATAAAGGGAGTTAGGCTGGCAAACTTCCTCTCTTTGGATATGACATATCCACTCCATTTTTTAAACACATGAGTAGAGAACTCCTATACAACTTTTGACTGAGTAGAGAGAAGTTGTATAGGAGGCTTTGTGATAAATTTCTCCTTTTAGCATCAAACCCAGTCCACATGTTTGAAGAGTGCTACCCTGAGGGAAAGAAATGAAAATACTAGAATGTACAAACAAACAAAAAGAACAGAACACTTGAGCAGGGACAAAAATGATCCTGTTTTGAATGTATTCCAGTGAGGACAGGAGGCCTTTGCGGTGGTTTGAAAAACAGGGCTGTTTTATTTAAATAAAATGTCATTCACAGTGAATTCCTACTGAGCCTCTCCCTTTGTTATACAAACAGACACCTGGACCACCAGCTTACAAAAACACTCAGAGAATACCAACAACTCTGGGTCCGATCCTGCTGTCAGTCTGTCAAATGAAACTAGCTGGAGACAACAATGTCCTCAAAGCCAATAATGTAAATGTGTTATGTTTAAACTTAGCTTCATGATCTTGTGTCCAGGCTTAGCCATGTTTACACCATACCCACTGGAAGGAGGGTTCAAAGTTTTTAGTCAAAGGTACGTTTTCATTCAGAAAGCTAGCCAAAGCTTGGAAAAATTAGTTTTTGGACTACAACTCTCAGTATCCGGTAATCATGCTTGTTAGGAGATTCTGAGAGTTGTGGTTCAAAAGCTAACTTTCCCAAGCTCTTGATCTGGTTAGTTGAAAGAAAGAGGGTATTTTCATCGGTTCCTGTTCCCTTAGTCATCCCTGAAGCTAGACACGCACACACAACCCTTCTCATTTTGGAAGACGTCTAACTCCCTTCCTATCCTTCAGCAAATGAAGAAGCTCTGAAAGTGTTCTGGTGGTGGGATGGTTCCTGTGAAACATTTTAGGAGGTTTCAATTCAATGGGACTGAATTAAGACTGTCTGAAGTCCCACTCATTTCAGTAGGTCAGCTCTAAGCATAACTATGAGTTACAATTCCATTAAATTCAACTTGTATGTAACTTGCTGTTTGGGTCATTCCAGAGGCTGGAATTATGTACCAACCACATAATGACCGAAACCACTTCCCAACTCGGTTTCTCTGGTGTTGCCATCCCATATCCTGGCTGATGGATAGCAGAAGAAAGGAGCAGGGAAGCATCTACTTATAGGACGCGTAGCAACAGGACCTCCCAGGAGTTCTTCAGAGACCCCAAAATATGAGGACCCATCACTCTGCATCCAACTATAGAAACATCCCTCTAGCAGTCCTCCTGCTGCTCACCAGCCAGGAAATCCTCGGTTTAGGACCTGCTTCCAGGAACAGTTGTGGGAAAGTATTAGGCAGTAGACCTACGATAGTTACATAATTCAATATGCCTCCTTATCTAGGATCCTGGTATTTGTTTTTAAAGATAAGCAGGCTGCTTATCTTTAAAAACTAATGCAGGTCGCCAATACTGCTCTTTTACCAATCTCTTTTTATTTAGAATGTAAATATTAGCCCTTTAATGTTTATCTTCCAGGATTTCAGATTATCTCATTATTCAGGGTTGTCTCAATTTCTCTTCAGAGTGGTGTCTGTTGATACAATTCACTTCAATTATTTCATTAGGCAGGTACATCAGTGAGAGGCCGGTTTTCTTCAGATGTTCCTAGACCTCCAGGAAATGTAGACATCACAAAGGAGAATGCAGTCACATCATGACTCTGTTTGGAGCAGTCAGAGATGGAAGCTGCCCTACAGCAAGGATGCATACTATGATTTCTCCTATCTCGTTACTTTGAATGAGATATGATGGTGTAGAATTGTACACATGGCAGTAAGACCATACCCATTCCTACACAGTGGTCATTCCACAGACATTGGCTGTGTTACAAGCCCAGTTTCTGCAGTCAGATGTGCATGGAGCCCAAATGCATCTTAACAAGACTGGTGATACAGTGTTCCCTCACTTCTCGTGGGTGTTACGTTTCAGGACTACCCGCAAAAAGTGAAAATCCATGAAGTAGGGAGGCTATATTTATTTTAATATTTAAACATTATTTTAGTAGTTATACACCATTTTAAGTCTTTATCAACCCTCCCCACACACTTATATACTACATAACCCTCCTTGAACGTGTTGTTCACTTAATCCTCGGCTCCGGCTTTATCCGCAGAGGCAGCCCCTCCATACATACAAACGCTCTTAAGTCCATAGCGCTTCTGAAATGTATCAAACCAGCCCTTGCCGGCAGTGAATTTGCCTGGTTTGGTCAGAGAACCAGTCGATGCATAAGATTGTTGTTTTACCGAGTACCGTAAAAACCCGCAAAACAGCAAAAATACTGCGATAAATATTTTACATTA